CTCTAATACATAATTCTAACTTAATATATGGGGGTGAGTCAATAGAAAAGGGACAAATCATTTTTAGTAATTTTTTTTTAATTAGTAAGTGAATATTAACAAAGTAATTACTTCAGCAAAAAGGACAAATAACAATTTAAAAACTCGAACCAAGCATGATAACTTGTTATCGAAATTGTGTATAATTACTCAGTGTCTCATATTATTTGTGTAATTCAAGTTACGACCATTTACATATATAATTTGTTCGATTTATATAAAATATCTTTTTAAACGATGTATTTAAAATAGACTATTAGAGTTCCAAATACTTTCATTACAATCTTCCTCTTATTTATTCGTGTTAACTTAGCTGAAATACAATTTAAAACAATTATGGATACATAACGCTGCTCATCCGGTAGTTTGGAATCTATTTTTAAAATCGAGTGCATCAAACTAGTGTTCAATTAACGTTAACGCACATCTAATATAATTTATTAGTGTGACAATATATTAAAGATTCAGAAAATAAAATATGTGAATCTTTTCGTTTAGCTTTCCAAATACTATTCTTAAAATTCAAGAACTTTGTACGTAACATGAATTTTATAATCGTGTGGTAACACTGCATGATTGTAGTGTACTAATGGGATGGACATGTAAAGAATATATAGCTTATGATATGTACTGTACGTCTTGCATAAGATTGGTTTGCATCAAACGTGACTTTATAATAAAATATTTATATATACGTACGTACGTACATTCAAATAGCAAAGTTATAATTCATTTTTGTTGAATTATATTTATTTCAATGATATCAGAAATACCAACAATTTCTTTTATCTTCGCACTATTATGCCTTTCTGTTTTTTCTTTATTTGTTCGATGTAAATAAGTAAAATATTGAAATATTCCTGTTTCAAGAATATTCATATAAATAATCGCATGTTTAATGAGTTTCTTAGCAAAGAAACCTCTTCTTAGACCTGGAATATTTATGATGTCTTTATCAATTTTTTTTGCGCCATCTTTGATAATTCGGATGTATTTATAATTGCAAAAAAAGAATTGAAAAAAAGAAAGAAAACATTGATGTTGAAAAAGGAACTACAATTTATAATATTGTTGATGAAGATATTAAAATTATTATTAATGATATTAGAAAAATTATTAAAGATATTAAATGTATTTTTCAGAATGGTGATAATACAGACCCTAAAAATGGTGATAATACTGATAATGATATTAATGAGAATATTAAAAATATTCTTATTAATCCAGATATTATTTATTATGAAAATATTGAAATTTTTGATACTAATTTTGCTGAAGATATTCTTGTTAGTTTAAAAATTATTAATGATGATAAAAAGGTTGTTAATATTGATGAGATTAAAGAAATCATTGTTAAATTTATTCTATTTATTATAAAAATTAAACGATTAGAGATCATGATAAATATTGAAGATCACAATATTAAAGAAAACAAAGTGCTCAATGCCACATAATTTTTTATAGGACTAGAGTTTATAAATTAGGACAATATTAGATATTGGAGCCTAAATGTTGGGAGTTGGCATTAAGTTTTTTAGGGCGCTGAACATTTTGCTTAAGACATCAAGCATTAATTACAACTAGTTTTTAAGATATAGCGATTGTAGAACACCACTACTTTACAGAAACTTAAATATCTTAATATGCAGTAACTGCATAGTAACGACGTAGTAATCAATAGTTACTATTAAATTTAATCGTAATTACATAGTTACTATACAGTTACTGCGCATTAAGAGATTTAAGTTTCTGTATAGTAGTATTATTTGATTTTGTTATATAATAAAGATATATACTTTATCAGTTATATATATATATATTACATTGCTTATTGATGTTAGAAGGTTTTATTATTATTATTATTATTGTTATTATTATTATTGTTATTATTATTATTGTTATTATTATTATTATTATTATTATTATTATTATTATTATTATTATTATTATTATTATTATTATTAT